GATGTCTTCACTGTGCCTCAAGGTTGGATGTTAGTCAGAGCTGTTAGATAGGAAAAGAAAAAAAAAAAAAAAAAAGAGAGACAGCTTTGACGATGAAACTTCTGACTTGGGTTGCAAGGGGGAAATCCAAGAGGCCCTCCTGGGGAGGTGTTCCCACAGAGGAACAATGAGATCTGTCCTGGGACTTTGGCCCAGGAGAGGTGCCACTTAGTGATTCTGGGATGAGTGCTGGGGATTTTCACATCTTCCTGTCTGATGGCTTCTGGAGGAGCCTACCAGTCTGAAGGTGGAGATTTGCCTACCCACCTTCTGTCTCTAAATGTTTTGAACCTGGACTTCCTTTTTTAACAAGGAAGATGCGGGCATCCCAGCCCCCGCCAATGGACGTGTCTGAACTTACACGCAGTTTCTTCCTTCTTTCCAGGGCCACAGTGAGAAACGTCCCTCCTTCTGTTTCTGTTGAATCCCCACACCTCTGTGGGCCCCACTGCCTCTCCAGTCCTTGAGGATCCTCTTTCTCTGCCCTCTGTCCTGGCTCTTTTTCCTTCCACCACACCTTACTTATGGCTTTATCATGCTGCCTCTGTCCTAGCACCCTTCGGCTACCACAGCTGCTCTTTCCACTTCCTTACCTCCCCTCTGCTGCTCAACAAAGACACTGCAACTGGCTTCCTTCCTACTGCTCCACTGAAATAGCTTTCGCCAAGGTTCCCAATGACCTCTGGGTTGCTAAACCCAGCAAATCCATTTTTTTGTTTTGTTTTGTTTTTTAAACCAAATTGCTTCTTTTCCCCCCAAGACAAACAGATTGGAGGTAGCGTTCGCATGCCTCTCCCACTTGGAAGGACAGAATAGTGTGTAGAGATTCACACTATAAATTTTTTTTCTCCAGGAATGAATGCAGGAACTGAACAGGAAAACTGAAAGAATCCACAAAACTTTTGAAAGAAGTGGCAGCTGCAGCCTACTCTGTGAGACAGGCAAAAAACTCACCTCTAGGCAGAATAGTACTGCACCCAGGAAGGAGAAAACAGCTGCATATTCTCAGCTATCACCATTGCTTACAACACCCTGGCTAACCAGAAGTCCTGCATCCGTCCACGTGATAACATCACTATAATTATAACCAGCATTTGAGAAAGTCAGCACGCTAAGCCTTTCGAATCTTGCAGAGTTTACATCACTCCCCTTCCACGTCTATCAGAGGTGGTGCTGGTATTCACTGCTGGGAGTCTTAAAGACAGGTCACATCACTGGATCCGTTGCAGACATTCCCCAGCACCAGCCCAGAGTCTGGTAGGCCCACTGAGGAGCTAGACCCAGAAGAGCACTGTAGTCTGGTCTCAGGAAGTCCCATTCCTAAAGAAAGGGGAAGAACATCACATCAAGGGAACACCCTGTGGGACAAAATAATCTGAACAGCAGATCTTGAGTGCCAGATCTTTTCACTGGTGTGAAGTTTCCTATAGCAGAGACACAATTGCCGTGCTGTGCTGGGCAGAGTAGGGAAAGTTTGCACCTCTACCCAACAGGCAGGTAGCCTCTGGTATTGTGAAGGGTCTTAGAGAAGGGATCCTTTTTCCCCCTGGTACGCCACTGCAGACAGAGCTGGGGCTTCTCCCAAAGGAATGCAGCATGGATGCACCTACAAACAGCTTTCCTGAACAAATCAGGGTGATTGCATCCCCACGGGAGGAGCACTCCCCAGATTCAGGCTTGCAAGACAGGCAGTCCCAATTCCACTCTACTTGGAACATCAACATTTCTACAGATGAAAATAACTGCCTGTCTGATCTGAATAGCCAGAACACTGGGACAGGAGTAAAGTGGGGAGGTAGATAGCTTTCCAGCTGGCCTTGTGGGGGACCTGAGGTAACTCTTACCCTTCACCCTGACAAAACCTCAGCGTATGTAATTGAGAGCTCCGCCAGCCACTTTCATCAAGGCTGGGATCTCTGCCCACCATTGGGTATTACATCTACCCACCTGCT